GATTGAAGTTTTCCTAGCGAACTTTTATTTTTATGCAAATTTTAATTTACATGAATCATGTGTTATTTTTATTCTATAAAATAAATATCTGCATTTAACTGAAAGTAGACTTTTATATTTATATATAGTATTTATTTGTATTATTATATACATTTTTGTATTTTATTTCCCTTTCAATTCTACGCTTTAGTCAGCATTTCTGAAAAAATTTAACAAATTTATATATCAATAGTCTTCTATAAGGACCAGCTCCTATGACAGGTGCAATAAATAGTTGTACGCCTTCAGGTAAATTCCAAATTCCAGAGAATGTTTGTTTAAATATGTCATGCTAGGAAAATATGCAACTGAAGCTCTGTAGTCTGTTAGTTCTGGACTGAGGACAAAGCTCTCCCATTTAGTCGCCTCATTTGAGATCCACTGTGGTTGAATTCTACGAGCCGCCAACCACACAATACACGAATATGTGGATATGGTAATATGATAATAGGGAAAAGTATGAATAGTTTTTTTACTCATTATATTATTATTCATAATTCCTTACTTAGTAAAGAAACTTAATTTCAAGAATATTAGGAAGGGGTTGTCGATATCTTTTAATACATATATATATGAAAGTAAACCATACTGTGATACAGACATACTACAGAATAGCTTGAAAGTTTCATAGATATGATAGACAGATTTTTATACATACATATACATATCCAATGTTAACTTCTCCACTTCTGTATTCTAATCCCTCAACCGTTTAGGGTATTGTCTATTCGTCCAGGCTTCCATCCATTTCTGTTCGGTTTTCTCATATCTAAAAAAAAACGTTTCTCACATTTGCAATTCAAATGCAAATCGTTCCAGCAGCTTGAACTATGAGTGCTTCGCAACCCCATCTATTTGTTCACCTCTCGCACGCACCTAACACGCACTTTGACCTCTTTTCTTGCTCTTAATGTAAACTGAAATCGAAACCGAAGTCGAAATGGAAACTGAAACTGAAACAGAAACCTGCTGTGATTGACACTTGCTCTCCAATAATGGGAATTCATGTGTCCGCCACAGTTGGACAGATGAGTCAATTTGCTCAACACCTAAACCAGATGCGCTTGGGTGGACTCTCTGAGGGCGAAAAGGTCCCCCTGTATGTGTGTATTCCTCATGCTAGCATCTCTCTCTTCTCTTGAATGCCCCAGCTCTGTTTTGATAACAAATTTTCCACTTCATTTGATCTGACTTCAATTTGCTTATTTGTTTGTTTTTAGCTTCATGCATGTGGAAGAGGGGTATATAGGTTTTTTTTTATATATGTCTGGCTCAATATGTATTTAATTGTATTGAATCACTTCCGCGTTCCCTGCATTATATTAATTTTTTTCAAATTAGATTTTATATATCTAATAATTTAAAACATTGGTTTTTGGTTAAAAATATAAAAATTATTATTATTATTATTATTATGATTATTATTTTTTGAATGTTTATTGTTTTTTTATATTCTCTATATTATAATATTCGGCGTTTATATATATATTATTATATATATTGTGATAAATATATATTTATTATATTTATTGTGATAAATATTATTATTTATATATTATTTATTAGGCTACAGTTAATATATATTTTTAAACTGATTCAAATTTAAGCACATTTATTCTACTGTAAACCCAGCGATAGTATTAAAAGCTATAATATTTAATAGTTTTTAATATAAAAGTAAAGTCGGATGAGAACCTTTAATATTATGAATGATTATATATGTATATTGGATCAGCATGGACGAGTATTAGGCAGTTGATTGAGTGCTGCGCGATTTCAATGTTCAAGCTATTGTTGGGGTTGCTTCCTCTCTCTCTCCCTCTCTCAATCTCTCTCCATCTACTCTATCTCTCTCAATCTTTCTTGATTTGTTCTCTCAAATTGCGGTTTGTTTTTGCGCTTACTTTTGCAATTTTTTTTTTTTTTTTGCTTATCGCTTTGAATTCTTATCGCAGATATTTGCCAAAATTTTCGCTGGGGCTGCACAAAGGTTTCAATTTCTTCTATTTATACCACAGAGGGGTTGAAGATTATTTAGATTATTTACGTGTATCGATCGAGCGTACAATTCGTATAACTAAATTTCTGTTTTGAAGAACAGCTTTGTATATTTACATATGTATGTATATAATTCATATGTTATTTTTTGTTACACACATTTTTGTTTTTCATATGTTCTGGAATTTATTATCAAATCTGTGTACGCATTTTTTTGCCTAGTGTAATTCGAGCAGCGTGATTTTCAGAAACGCTTGTGGCATTTTCCCCGCTCGATGCACAGCTGTGAAATGCTTTTTCCGCTGCATTTATTATCATAATTGTGTGCAAAAATGTTTTTTTATTCTCTTATTCTGTTGACTTTGGGGGCGGCTGTTGTGCCCGTCATATATACTTATACAAATATATATATATAGTATATATATATACATGATAAATGGGGAATGCAACAGTGGATCGAGTTGCACATTAATCAAAACGCGCTGCAACTAAAAGCCGCAACAGCTGCGGGCACAAGGCCAAAAGATGCAAAGTGGCAAAAGTTAATGTATTGCCATATTTTTAAGGCTCTTTCAGCTGCTGGCTCGAGGCCCAAGCCCAGCCGAGGATTTTGGCTTAAAGTGTGGAATATATGTATGTAGCATTTCGATATATGTATTAATGTTCCTCTTGAGCGGCAATTATATGAGCTTTACTTGTCTGTAGAATTCGTATATTAAATAAGGCTTTTATAAATACCTATTAAAATACTGATTGGTTTCTTAAGAAGCTAAATAGATTTATATTTTATTAAAATACATGTTTTATATATACATATATCTGTAATCAATGTACATAAGCATAACTGAATTTTATGGCTTATAATAATTGAATTTACTTTATTCTCTAAAACTCTACTCAGAAACCTTACCTATTTCCAGTCATTGTAGGGAATAGATTCTGGCTGTCTATGCGAGGTTATTAACACCTGAATACTTGTCTTTATATACTGATTTGATTGTATTTCTCTATATATCTATGCGCCATATGGAGAAAGTTTTTGCTATGTGATTCGACTAATGTAAAATGTTTTCTATATACGTTTATGTATATATAAAGGAAATTTATATTATATTTTATATTGTTAATGCCAGATCCCATTAACAAGAATTGCTCCTCCCGCGCCGTACAATGTTATGCTATTAACAGCACTCTGTTAATAACATAGCCCCAGTTCTCCTACTGGTTCGCCTCTCCTGGTATTGACACTGTTTATAAGCGACACAGCCTTCTTCCCAAGAATAAAGACGAGGAAATTACAAGCCGGTCTTTGTACTTATTGTTGACGTCACCACTCCAACATATATTTATATTATATAAATTCTTTAATTTTAAGAGAAGTGAATATAATCAATTTAAGGAGTTTTACACTTATTTATAATAATTAATTAATCTACCCACATTGAATGTTGTGCAGCAACCCTAAGCAATAGTTTGCAAAAAAGAAAATAAAAGGAAAGGGAAGACTGACGTCATATTGAGTGCAGCTTAAGGGTGACTTTTACAGATTACCCTAAACTATATAGTATATAATAGTATATAGTGTACTTTTGTATATATAATAATGGCAAATGCGCCCCCTTTTTCTGTCCTTTGCACAAATGCACAAATATTGAATTACTGACCAAAGTGTGGGGAATCCCGGTTTCTGTTTCTTGCAGCCACTGAGATACGCTGCCAGGAGAAGTCGCGCGGCGGCCTTAGCTATGAGGTCATCCTGGCCGAGCCGGCACCCAATGTGGCTGTGCCCAAGCGACCCGTTACACCGGGCAAGAATGTCAGCGTCGAGGAGATTGAGCAGAAGCTAAAGGCAGCCGAGGAGCGTCGCATTGTGAGTAGAGAGAAAGAGAGGGAGATAGTGGAATAAAATATCAATTGATATAATTTTAATATTACGCAGTCCTTGGAGGCACGCAAGATGGCCGAGATCTCCATTAAGCTGGCCAAGGTGGAGGAAGCTACACGCAAAAAGGATGAGATCACCAACGAGTTCATCACTCAGACCAAGGAGCAGCTGGAGACCAAGATGGAGACTCACGTGGAGAAGCGCGAGGCCATCATCAGCGACATGAAGGAGAAACTAAAGGTGATCTCAATATGATATAAGGCAAACACGTTATAATAGAGCTGTTATCCATATAGATTCATGCTCAGGAGATTGAGAAGACGCGCGAGACTTTGGAGCAGCAAAAGGCCAATGAGCAGAAGGCCATTGAGGAGAAGTTGAAGACAGCTCAGGCTTTGCGCGATGAGAACATCAAGAAGATGTTGAATCGTCTCAAGGAGCACGTAAGTTGCTTTATTATCTAAGTAAGGTATAAATGTATTAGCTTGGCTTGGCTTGGTGTTCTTTCTT